TGGTCCTCGCGATAGGCTTCCACCAAAGATTGAGTAACATTGTCCGTGAGACTGAACTCAGTAATCAGCGCACCTGAGAAGTCTGGTCTGCGCGATAGGGCGTCAGCAACCTTGTTATACTCCCCTTTTAGATACTGAGGGCCAAAGTCATATTGCTCAATGACTTCGATCCAACGCTTGAGAGCGTCAGAGAGCACCGGCTGGGTTCTCATCCATTTCAAGGTCTGATGATCAGTTCTGAGGATGAAGAACCTCCCAAGGAGATAGTGTCTCCAATGGGTGAGAGCCTTGTACACCGCATAGAGTTCCTTCTCATAAGTGGACTTAGCCAACTTCTGAGACGGCATTTTCTTAGACATGTACTCAACTGGCCTCAACTTCGGCCCCTCTTGCTGCGCAAGCATGGCGCCAATGCCATATTGGCTAGCATCCGTGGTTACTATAAATGGCTTATCAGGATCGGGTAGCTTCAAGATTTCATAGTGCGTCAATGCATGCTTCAGATGTCTGAAAGCAGCCTCGCACTCATCTGTCCACTCCCACGGGGTGTCAAGGCGGGTTAGATCAGTCAAAGGAGCGGCCACTATGCTGTAGTTCTTTACAAAAGTCCGGTAGTAGCCTGTCATTCCTAAGAAAGATCTCATCTCAGTCACGGACTGAGGTCGTGGCCAATCACGAATGCTGGCCACCTTCGCGTCATCGGGCTTCAACCCTTCCGCGGAGATCTCATGACCCAAGTACAAGATACGAGTGCGGCCAAACTCGCACTTTTCACCGTTGATCTTGAACTTGTGCTGTCGCAGGAGATTGAGAACTTTGTCTAAGTGTGCTACGTGCTCCTCGACAGTCTTACTAAAAATAAGTGTGTCATCAAGGTACACGACGACAAACTTATCCAAGTAGTCATGGAATATCCGATTCATAGCGTGCTGAAAGGTGCCAGGAGCATTGCAAAGGCCAAAAGGCATCACCACAAATTCGTACAGACCGTACCTAGTCTGAAATGCGGTTTTGTGTTGATCCTCGGGCCGGATTGCAATCTGATGGTACCCGGACTTCAGATCTATCTTACTGAAGTACCGACACCCTTGCACTCTATCTAACAGATCATCGATGCGCGGTAGGGGCTCTCTGTTCTTCACAGTGATGGCATTGAGGCCCCTGTAGTCAATGCACATCCTGAGAGTGCCCTCCTTCTTCTTAGGTACGAATAGTACTGGAGATCCGTAAGGAGAGACACTCGGTCGGATCCAACCCTTCTCTATGAGTTCCTTGAGTTGGCGGCGAAGCTCATCAAGTTCGCCTGGAGACATCCGATAGGTCCTACCCTTTGGAATACTAGACCCTGGGATAATTTCTATTGCGTGGACGACCTCCCTCTCCACAATTCCTGTAAGCTCCTCAAATAGATCAGGGTACTTGGCAACTACTCCCTCTATCTCTGGCGGCATTTTTACCGGCTCGCCTGCAGCAGAGACGTAAACCAGATACATACCCTCCTCCGGATTTTGCTTATAATAATTGTAGAACGCGGCCGCACACAAGCATCCGTGGGAATCGATCAGACTACTAGCCTTAAACTTGTGTAATCTGGCGGTTCCCCCGTTTGGCAAAGTGTGTTTGACCAGTTTTCGGTCCCAGTCAAACTGGGGTTGTGCTACGGAGAGGTAGTACATACCCAATAGCATGTCCATGGGGAGCTCGTCGCTAACCAGGAATGAGACATGATGCCTCTGTTCCCCTTCCGCGTACGGGAAAAGACACTCTATGTCTTTTAGGTAGTCATGGACTACCATGCACTGTTTGTTGGCGCAGGTCGACTCCACAGGTCGACTCAGGCGCTGCACTTGCCCCTCTAAGCGCAGCCTCTCAACGCACGCGCGGCTAATAAAGTTCCTAGTCGAGCAAGTGTCGTAATAGGCCCCGGCCTTGCGGCCTCCTATGACTACCTCGCTGACAAACATTTCACTCTTAGGGGCTTTCACTAACGCCGTCCAAGAAGCTAGTGGGTCTGATCTAGACCACTCATCCTCTAGCTCCTCTAAGGATTCAAACACATTCATCGAATAGAGGGTCGATGGGTCTGAATGTGTTTGCGGGATGACTGAAGAGTCTGTAGCTTGGGCCATCTCTCGCGGAGGTGAGGGTGTATCCACCATCGCGACCCCAGTAGGAACAACTACTATTCCTACTGGCCCGACGTGTTTCCCGGAGCCGTGCCAGAAGTGCTAGCAACGGTACTTCCAATGGGATTAGAGGATCCTACCGCTGACCCCATAGTAGGCGGGATCTTCTCGGTGACCTTCCTGTTGCGGCACTTGTACATGCTATGACCATATTGGCCACACTTGATACATGCTTGCCGTGCCCACCGATCTCTCCACACGTCCTCAGATAGACCCGCTTTCTCCCATGGAGGAGCATTAGGGTCTGTTTGACTCTTCGACCGGGATCCCCTAGGGCGTCTACCGGTCCCTTTACCTTTTTGCTGGGTTACGGCGGCGACTACTCCACCCTCTGAAGTTTTGCCACCCGCCTCTGCACCTACTCCCTCCTGGATGTTGCCGTCTAACTCGATGGTTGAACCATCGTTGTCGACGAACATGATGCGACCCTTCGCCTTCCAGTTGGGAGGTAGTGTCTTTTTCCTCTCGTCCGTTGTGGGTGACTGTCCATGCCCTATCTTTGCTTCAAGGTCTAGGGCTACCTTGCGGAACGAAGGAAAGTTGTGCATATTGATGTTGGCCTCTTTTGCCAACTGGTTCCTGAGAGGCTGAGATAAGGTCCTCAGGTACGAAGTCAACAGGACCTGGGGTTCATAGCGTACCCCTAGAACACAGATCAAACGCTCTACAGCATCGGTGGCCTCCCTTACTGACTTAAATTGCCTCGTGTGCAGTGTCAGGATCGCATCAGTAGCCTTTTGAGCCTCCTGAGGATCATGCCACCTCTCTTCCACCATCTTCAGGAAGTCCTCCATTTTCTGAGAGGCTGCCCAAGAGCGGAAATCATGACCGTATCCCTGGAGTTGCACTAACCCACTCAACCATCTTGCTGCACTACCCTCTAGGTAGGAAGCAGCCACAAGCACTTCTTCGTGTGGCAAGGTGAGCTTACACCTGACGTAGACCGGCACTGCCCTCAACCAAGTGTCGAGGTCTTCGCCTCTCTTGTCCCCTGTAAAAGGTTTGGGAGCGGCGATGGCCGTCTTTGGAACCCACTGATTTGGTCCCGGTCCTTGCACCACCCCGGGCTGTGGACCCGGTGATACAGGTTGTTGTGCTAGCTGCTGGGGCTGTGTGTCCTGCGGCTGCACAGGTTGTGAGACAGCTGGCTGCGTGGTGACCGCAACCTGCAACGGACTCTGAGTGAACACTGTCTGAACAGGAACCTGTAAACTACTCCCTGCTGTTACCCCTCCTGACAGAGGCATGCCCACGGAAACGATAGCAACCGTTGACGGGGCTACATATGGGGATACCCCTGTCACCGGTGGGACAAAAAAAGGAGGATATGGCACGGGCCAGGCACCAGGCCCTGCTGGTGATGGTGCTGCCTGAGCACGGCCTGC